CTCACAGTTTGGACCTTTGTTCTTGAGAAAGCTGATGTGTTTTAAAGTTGAGTGTGGACTGTGCCCTAGCCTTTTATGCCAGAGATAAATCTCATTGTCCACATGTTTTGCACCTTCAACTGCATTTCCACAGAAATTCTGTCCTTCAATCACATATAACCCTCCCAAGGCCTTTCCCTCAGCAATTGTTAAGTTGGTCTTCTCCTCAAACAATCTGCAGCTCTTGTTAGTGAAGTGAAAACACAAATTGTTATCTTCTATCAGCTGTCCCACAGAAAGCAAATTATATTTAAACTCAGTAACCACAAGAACATTTCTCAGCACAATCTTGTCATTCAGTCTCACTTCTCCAATTCTTGTCACCTCAAATTTTGAGCCATCAGGTAAATTCACAGTCACAGGCACAGACATATTCACACAATGATTAAGCATGCTGAGATTTGAACATATATGCTTACTTGCTCCAGTATCAACTATCCAGCTTTCTTGATTCATTTGACTGAATAATGAGAAGATGTATCCCTCTTCCTTACCATTGAACTCCACAAGATGAGAAAAGGTGTGTGTTTCTGCCTCTTGTTGCATTGACATGTATTTTGCAACCTCCTTTGCAAGAGAACTGATGTCTGGTAAAGTGTCACTGTGTTGTGACTTTACTTCTGAATCTGTTCTTGAAATTTCATCACCTTCCACCATGTTAACATTTTGCCCTTGTCTTTGTTGTTTCAATTCTTTATACCAATCTGGATATCCATTTAATTTGAAACATCCTTGCATCTCATGCCCATTATAACCACAGTGAGTACAGTAAAGCTTTGGTCTCTCCTCCTTGGTCAGCCTTGGTGAGCCTCTACCTCTTCCTCCATTGTTGTAAAACTGTCCTCCTGATCCTCTCCCAACATTTCCACGGCCAAAACCTTTCCCTCTCCCATAACTTCCTTTAGCCAACATGGCTGAAGTTTCCAAGGGGTTCATCATGCCTGTGGTCAAGCTCTTCTGTTTTTCCACCTTCAGTAGCATTGAATATGCCCTGTTGATGGTAGATAGTGGTTCCATCAGCAGAATCTGGTTTTTAATTGGCTTAAACACCTCATTGAGTCCCATGAGGAACTGCATTAGCTTAGTTTCCATATCATATTCACTGAAAGCTTTACCAGCACCACAAACACATTCAGAAAGTGAGATAAGACTTGAATGCTCATCCCACAAACATTTTAGCTTAGTGTAGTATGCAGTGACTGTAAGTGTGCCCTGAGCAAAGTTGGCAATCTCCTTTTGGAGCTGATATTTAAGTGGACCATTACTTTCCCCATATCTTTCTGCTAACTCGTCCCATAATTGTTTGGCAGTTTTGACATACATGAAGGCTTCAACAATTTCTCTAGAAATGGAATTTAACAGCCAAGATATGACCATAGATTCTACCTTCATGTATTGAGTGTAATCTTCTGTGTTATGTTCTGGAATTTCCACTGATCCATCAATGAACCCGAGTTTTGACTTTGCACTCAGAGCTAGCTTCATTGCTCGATTCCAGTGAGAATAATTTGCGCCGGTGAGCTGATTAGTGACCAGGATCAAACCAGGGTGGTCGGAGCCGTGAAGAGACAAAGGATCGATGTCCCTTGAGTAATTGCTGCGCACAATCTCTCGCCCTTGTTCATCTCTGTTGATTGACGCCATTTGAAATTTGTATAATCAACCTGCTCTCGATACCATGTAGAATTTCTAGATTTTGGATATTCAAACAAACTGAAACAAATCAAAGTAAATTTTCGATCGCCATTTTCGATGAGCTTCGAGCTCAAATTTTCAGATCTGATAAAATTGAAAAAGAAGTACATGCAACACGACATATTTGTTCCCCTCAGCTCAAACAGCTGTGGCCAATCTAAGCACGACACGTGTGCTGGGAATAAAATGCAAAAGAAACAAAACAGCTAAAATGCGCGTCTATAAGTGAAACGCGTTTTAAAAGAAAGCAAGAAACAAAAGGATAAAAATAATCTTCAGTTCTTCATGCACAGTTACGTGCAGAACATATTTGAATTACACAGATTAACAGGCCCGTTGTGTGGATTGTGGTCGATACGGTGGATGTGGTGGGGGAGTTTCTCGGTTGTCTTCGGCTCAGGAGTTGGTTGGCCGCTTGGGCGGGGCTGATGTCTTGGGTTTCGGCTCCGGTTAGGCATGTGTTGCAATTTTCGGTGTTGAAATTCGAGCCTTGGTGTCGGCCGTGTGTTTGTCATCGTGTTCTGTTTGTTTCAGTCGTCCAGCTGCGGAAAGAGCTCGTTATTTTTTTACTTTCAGTGTTGGTTTTTTTGTATTTGTTTGGATAATTATGTATTAATGTGGCTGCGTTGTGGTGTTTAGGCTCCCTCTGAGATTGTCCTCCAACTAGATTCGACTTCTCGCCGACTTGTAGATGTAAATATGTGTTCTTTCTATGAAAGCTTATCGTTCCCGAAAAAAAAATAAAAAAAAAATAAAAATAAAAAGAATACAAAGCTCCACTAGTGAAGAATTCCAACTTTTAAACTAGAGAATACTAACTCCCAAAAGAGAATAGAACACCAACACAAACAAACAAAACAAAACATACTAAACACAGTAGTCAGTAGATACTAGACTAAAACCCTTCTCGCAACCGTCAAGCCACTGCAACCAAAAAGCACCACCAACACCAGAGGGCAACCACCCTCAGAAGAGACACAACCGGGTCACAGATCTAGAAACTGCAGTACACTAACGTGTAACTAGATCTGAAACCACAGACCCTACACCTCAACCAGCAACCGAAAGCCTTCATCACGCTCTACCCCCAACATCACTGATGACCCGATCCGGGCCCGAACACGAACTAGACCATCTCCCAATGGAGAAACGTCGGATCACCCCAACCATGGAGACCTATTAAAAGGCAAGACCCACTCAAGGGAGATTGCCGCCCCCTCCAGAGAAATTGCAATATCGCCTCTTCGAGATTTGAGCCGCATGGTCCGGCGACGGTGCTGCCGTGATGGCGCGGT